TTCGTCTGAAAGAAGAAAGTCATATACACCTAGGATGCTTCGAGGGGAAGTAAAACACAGTCTAATTTTCATTTTTGGGTGAACTAACCCTTTAACAGCTGTACAGGAGCACTGAACTCAGTTGAAGCCAGCTCAAGTCAGCAGCTAATATTGCACTGCAAGAGATGCTAGCATTGTGTTACTACAAGTGTATTACCCGTTTTTAATTCTTTGTGAAACTCCCCTAGGACTCTTTACTTTTCTTTTGATTCTTATGAAAAGAGTGTTAATCAAATGAGACCTGATTTAGTTCTATATTTTTTATTCAAGGATAAACTTTCAAAAGCTTTTTTCTTTTGTTGTTTTATATACAGTGGGGCAAAAAAGTATTTAGTCAGCCACCAATTGTGCAAGTTCTCCCACTTAAAAAGATGAGAGAGGCCTGTATTTTCATCATAGGTATACCTCAACTATGAGAGACAAAATGAGAAAAAAAATTCCAGAAAATCACATTGTAGGATTTTTAAAGAATTAATTGGTAAATTCCTCTGTAAAATAAGTATTTGGTCACCTACAAACAAGCAAGATTTCTGGCTCTCACAGACTTGTAACTTCTTCTTTAAGAGGCTCCTCTGTCCTCCACTGGTTACCTGTATTAATGGCATCTGTTTGAACTCGTTATCAGTATAAAAGACATCTGTCCACAACCTCAAACAGTCACACTCCAAACTCCACCATGGCCAAGACCAAAGAGCTGTCAAAGGACACCAGAAACAAAATTGTAGACCTGCACCAGGCTGGGAAGACTGAATCTGCAATAGGTAAGCAGCTTTGTGTGAAGAAATCAACTGTGGGAGCACTTATTAGAAAATGGAAGACATACAAGATCACTGATAATCTCCCTCGATCTGGGGCTCCACGCAAGATCTCACCCTGTGGGGTCAAAATGATCACAAGAACTGTGAGCAAAAATCCCAGAACCACACGGGGGGACCTAGTGAATGACCTGCAGAGAGCTGGGACCAAAGTAACAAAGGCTACCATCAGTAACACACTGCGCTGCCAGGGACTCAAATCCTGCAGTGCCAGATGTGTCCCCCTGCTTAAGCCAGTACATGTCCAGGCCTGTCTGAAGTTTGCTAGAGAGCATTTGGATGATCCAGAAGAGGATTTGGAGAATGTCATATGGTCAGATGAAACCAAAATATAACTTTTTGGTAAAAACTCAACTTGTCGTGTTTGGAGGAGAAAGAATGCTGAGTTGCATCCAAAGAACACCTTACCTACTGTGAAGCATGGGGGTGGAAATATCATGCTTTGGGGCTGTTTTTCTGCAAAGGGACCAGGACGACTGATCTGTGTAAACGAAAGAATGAATGGGGCCATGTATCGTGAGATTTTGAGTGAAAACCTCCTTCCATCAGCAAGGGCATTGAAGATGAAACGTGGCTGGGTCTTTCAGCATGACAATGATCCCAAACACACCGCCCGGGCAACGAAGGAGTGGCTTCGTAAGAAGCATTTCAAGGTCCTGGAGTGGCCTAGCCAGTCTCCAGATCTCAACCCCATAGAAAATTTTTGGAGGGAGTTGAAAATCCGTGTTGCCCAGCGACAGCCCCAAAACATTACTGCTCTAGAGGAGATCTGCATGGAGGAATGGGCCAAAATACCAGCAACAGTGTGTGAAAACCTTGTGAAAACTTACAGAAAACGTTTGACCTCTGTCATTGCCAACAAAGGGTATATAACAAAGTATTGAGATGAAATTTTGTTATTGACCAAATACTTATTTTCCACCATAATTTGCAAATAAATTCTTTAAAAATCCTACAATGGGATTTTCTGGATTTTTTTTTCTCATTTTGTCTCTCATAGTTGAGGTATACCTATGATGAAAATTACAGGCCTCTCTCATCTTTTTAAGTGGGAGAACTTGAACAATTGGTGGCTGACTAAAAACTTTTTTCCCCCACTGTAAATCTACTGTTCCGGATTCATATACACTATTTATTGTTAAGTTTTAATATTTAAAAGTTTTTTTTTTGTTATTAATGTTGTTAAATTAATTTAATTGCTGAAATTTGAGAAATGAGAAACGAAAAAGGGTGAATTCACACGGTATATACATACTCTTATGTCTTATCAGATTAAAGAAGAGTTGAACCGTCATCTGATGTCCGTCTGATGAATGCATAAAAAAACACAACGCTACTTGTGTAACACCAGTTACACATATGTTTTTCAAACCTACAAAAGTAGTAAATCTACAATAGCCAACTTCCTGTTGGGCGGAGCACTGAAAATGGGTGTACTACAGCCCACCCCCTCCCCACCATGAGAACTTCTGTCCGGCTCTGATGGCCGCAGATTATAATATGTGTGCAAGGTTTCAATCATTTTTGAGCCCCAAAAATGCCCTGGATAGTTTTAAAACTTTTGAACATGTAAAATGTATATAAAAAAAACAAGAGGCTCACGCAGGCCACAGTGTTTCCCTTCAAATCCAGCATTGCAGGTGCAGGAGTAATCTTGTAACAGGTCCACACACTTCCCATGAACACATGGATTCGAGTCGCACTGGTTTCCATCTAAGGGTGCAGAAGAACTAATGAGTACCAGCAGTTATGGTGCCTTGAAGAACTCCAAGACAGACATAACTAACCTTTATATGCCATCCAGAATTCCAACTGCAAGATGAAAAGATCAGTTAGTGGATCATAGTTTAGGGGAAAAAAATATTAATACACTAAAAAGTTGAGATGACCAACCGTGGCTTCCCTCGTATTAAAGATTTCCCTTGCTTCTTCAAAATTGCACAGTTCCTCCCTACACTCCCGCTCCAACGATGAAGGCTTTATTTCCTCCATAAAAGTGTTGGCTCTTCTTGAACGCAGGAGCATGTGTGCTTTTGGGCTGTTAGAAAATGCTGACCAAAATAGACACAGGGTTGATAAGGCAGAGCAACACACAGACGGTTTCCAAATTGCCTTTAACGGGGTCATATGATGTTGCTAAAAATAACATTATTTTGTGTATTTGGTGTAATGAAATGTGTTTATGCGGTTTAAGGTAAAAAAAACCACATTATTTTCCACATACAGTACATTATTGTTTCTCCCCTACGCCCCGCCTTTCTGAAACGCGTAAATTTTTACAAAGCTCATCGGTCTGAAAAGCGAGGTGTGCTCTGATTGGCCAGCTATCCAGTGCGTTGTGATTGGCCGAATTCCACAAGCGTGTGACAGAAATGTTACACCCTTACCATACTGTGATGCCGTGTCCCGGAGCGACGAGGCAAAAACATTAAAACCCATTAGAAATGAGGCATTCATTGCATCCAGTGGGGACATAATCATGGATTATAATGACTTATACTGACTTTTTACGCGTTGCGTTGCATCACGCTGCCGTAAACATAAAACCATGTCTGCATTTGTGATCGGAGAAATGACAAAAAACAAGCGCTACTCTATACTGCTCAACTCGCGTTTGAATCATCAGTGGCAAATTCTTTAAATGTGAAAACGTACTTACAGACTTTGAGTCAGAACAACCGGCATTGTAGTCTACTCTCACAGGATCAGGAAACAGTCCTCCATAAAATGCGCTGCACACATCTGAATATTTGGGTTGAAGTGTTCTGGAACAGTGCTGTAAATACAACTTAACCACGGATTTCTAGTCGTGTTCTCTTTTGGAAGGCCAAATTAAGTATTTTCGCTTTCGCAATGAAACACACAGCGTCTTCACAACATGGCGGTGGTGGTGGCAGCAACAATAAAGTTACGTCTTCTTTCTTTGCGTGAACATTTGGGCGGCATTATGCAAATCTTCCCACATCGTGACGTAGACATGTGGGATCGTGTTTGAACGAGGCATTTAAGGAGGGCGTGAACGAGTCTTAACTTTCATAAAGAATATCTCTTTGGCTTTGAGACTTTAGTCTTTGCAACTTTAGGGATCTTATTTATTCACGAACAGCTTGTAACACTCCAAAGAGAAAGGAAAACTTGAAATCGCATCATATTACCCCTTTAATTGTGTACTACCAAAACTAAAGGGATAATTCATTAAGAATTAATTGTGTCTGCTGACAGCTTCATTTATTTGCAAAAGTTACATGCGTAATTTTAGGAATTAATAGTATAAACATGAGTATGCAATTTGCAGGGCATCCTTTTACTACTGCAATCCACTTCTGGAGTCTGACCTTTAAAACTTTAAATCTTTAAAATGTTTGAGCCCAGTCATAATTCTTTCTTTCTTTTTTCTTTCTTTCTTTTTTCTTTTCTTTTCTTTTCTTTTCTTTTCTTTCATTCATTATAATATTCATAATTAAACACATATAATCAGTACAAGGCAAGGCATTATTATGAGGTGGGCCATGTTAGTGACAGATCCCTTGGAACTGGAATTTATTCTATTCCATGCACCATAAGAGGTGGGAATAGATTGAAATGCCTTTTACAATGTAAGTTGTTTTGGATTTATACACTAAAGAGCACAATGTCACCTGGAGTTAATGAAGAAATTGATTTAAAAAAATTCTGTAGTAATAATAATCCTCACTATTGTGTTGTTTTGTATTGCATAGTATTTATTTATTTACTTACTTTTTTCTTTTCAATTTAATTTATTATTTTTCTTATTTTTTCCCCCTTTTTATTTATTTATGATTTACTTTTCTAATTTATTATTATAATTGTTTTTGTTATTATTATTATTTTTTATTGTGTTGGAAGTTACTACAATGTTCGATTTGTAAGAGCTGGCTGGTCATAGCCATTCCCACTAATCAATCTGAATAACCAGTTGTTTTGATCCACTGTTTGCCTATAGCAGGGGTGGTCAACTTCGGTCCTGGAGAGCCATAGTCCTGCAGAGTTTTCCTCCAACTTTGATAAAAACTCACCTGCCTGTAGCTTTCTAGTAACCCTTAGACCTTGATGAGCTTGTTCAGGTGTGTTTGATTAGGGTAGGGTTGGAGCAAAACTCTGCAGGACTGTGGCCCTCCAGGACCGACGTTGGCCACCCCTGGCCTATAGTTTAAGGAATGCTTGTGTTAGTAACGGCTGTCGAACAACTCCACTCTTTTAATGTTTTTAATGACTTATTCCAGTTTATTGAAGGCTTTTTACGTATAACCATGCCTTGGAATATTTTTGTTGTTTCATGTAATCAGTACAGTTATTTATTTATTTATTTTAACAGGGACTGTCCTTATTAATCAACAGTCAAATAGGGTATATAAGCCAGAGTTAGGCCCATTGGCTAATTTTCATGTTGCCCCTTGCCATATTTTTAAAAGGCAACCTAATCTAAAACATAGTATTTGTTCAGCATTGATGGTGCTTTTCCAGATGTGTAAGCTGCCCATGCCACACGCACTCATGCAACCCCATACCATCAGAGATGCAGGCTTCTGAACTGAGCCCTGATAACAACTTGGGTTGTCCTTGTCCTCTTTAGTCCGGATGACATGGCGTCCCAGTTTTCCAAAAAGAACTCAACTTCGTCTGACCACAGAACAGTTTTCCACTTTGCCACAGTCCATTTTAAATGAGCCTTGGCCCAGAGAAAACGCCTGCACTTCTGGATCATGTTTAGATATGGCTTCGTTTTTGACCTATAGAGTTTTAGCTGGCAACGGCGAATGGCACGGTGGATTGTGTTCACCGACAATGTTTTCTGGAAGTATTCCTGAGCCCATGTTGTGATTTCCATTACAGTAGCATTCCTGTATGTGATGCAGTGCCGTCTAAGGGCCCGAAGATCACGGGCATCCAGTATGGTTTTCCGGCCTTGACCCTTACGCACAGAGATTGTTCCAGATTCTCTGAATCTTTGGATGATATTATGCACTGTAGATGATGATAACTTCAAACTCTTTGCAATTTTTCTCTGAGAAACTCCTTGCTGATATTGCTCCACTATTTTTCGCCGCAGCATAGGGTGAATTGGTGATCCTCTGCCCATCTTGACTTCTGAGAGACACTGCCACTAATTGACCTAATAAGTTGCAAATTGGTCCTCCAGCTGTATATGTACATTTAACTTTTCTGGCCTCTTATTGCTACCTGTCCCAACTTTTTTGGAATGTGTAGCTCTCATGAAATCCAAAATGAGCCAATATTTGGCATGACATTTCAAAATGTCTCACTTTCAACATTTGATATGTTATCTATATTCTATTGTAAGTTTACGAGATTTGTAAATTATTCCATTCCTTTTTTACTCACAATTTGTACAGTGTCCCAACTTTTTTGGAATTGGGTTTGTACAATATAGTGAAAATTCATTCCACCGCTGCTGTTGTTTTTGAGGACTTTCAAAATACCGACATATTTTTGGCAGCTTCTGTTGTTTATCATTAATTGATGAACTACTGCTGCCAAATATTAACCAGTAAATTCATAAATAAATAAAAATCAACATTAACAGACACAATCTATAATAAGCCTAATCTTAATTAGCTACATGTTCTAATGTGGCACAAACAGTGGCGGCTCGTCGGGGGAGGCAGGGGAGGCACAGCTTCCCCATAATTTTGAGGTGAAAATGGGAGGATGATTTAATGTTAATAAAATACACAATTCATTTCAGTTCATGTCTCAGAATGTGTATTTTTTGTTTGTAATTTCACAGTTGTAATACCATAACGTGAAAGTGCTGTATTTCTATCGCGAATGTGACGAATCTGCTGATGTAATTACAACTGCTAAGGATAAAGAAGGGTAGGGGGAGGCCGGGGGAGAGGTGAGCTCTCGTGCCTCCATTGGTAAAAAAAAATTAGCCAATCAGCATCGAGTGTTCACTTTCAGCACTGAGGAGTGCTGAGAAAAGAACCCTGGCAAGGGAGGCTAGCCTCCCTTCTGATATCAACCAATCATCAAAGAGACGTAAATTACATGATATTAGTTTGAACGTCTCCCGCTGCGCTGATAATGTACCAAGTACTTATGATGAGTAGCAATATTGAATATTTGATTGCCAACAGATTTACCAAGCTGTCATTCAAACAGTATATATACAAATTTTAAAAAAGGGAAAACACGCCTAACTGGATATAGGCTACAGCAGTCGGCTTAATTAAATGGCGCAACAGGCAGCTCTCTTTTAACACAGACTTTTAAGAAGGGATGGATGTTTGCTTCAAGTGATAGGCCAGGTAAGTGAAATTATATTATCTTGCTGTATGTGTGTCGTTTTCTTTACATTTTCTGACTAAAAGCAACCAAAAAGCCATTTTAAAGTGGTTAAGCAAATAATAATAATAATAATGGGCAGGGATCCCATACCAATACAATTAGTGTGCCTCCTCTATTTTAAAACCCACGAGCCGCCACTGGGCACAAATACTCAGAATTTCCCTAAATGTTTACATTTTCAAAAGAACACTAGCTTCAGACAAATTCATAAGTATAATACATATGCTTTGCAACTATTTATAAATTCTACAGGGCTATTGACCTCATACCTGACTTGCAGAGAGCCCTATCAGACCAAAATACAACCAGTACTGAGATACAGAAGAAGAGACTCCTCATCATGACAACAGACCCTGTAAATACAGGAAGACAGAAATATACCTGAATATTAAGCATCTTTTAGATTTGAAGATTTTATAGAATCTGAAGTAATGGCACTTGCCTATTCTATTCTATTCTATTCATTTTTTGCTAATTTATACAAAAAAAAACTTTGCTATGTGTACTGTACTAGACTAACTGAGACTTGTCACATCACTTGTATACGGTTGCTCTCTTGTTGGTCTGATTGGTTCTATTGTTCTCCTCATTAGTAAGTCGCTTTGGATAAAAGTGTCTGCTAAATGTAAATGTAAATGCAATGGTTTGGTTATAGATACATGGATGATTACTTACATTCAAAGTGCGAAAGTTTGATGTATAAAATATTAATCAAAAATCATTCTTACCGTATTCCAAAATATCAACAGGGATAGTTAGAGGCCAGATTTGTGCTCAGAAAAGAACCACTGGAAGACACATGAATCGAAAACATTGAAATGTCCTAACATTAATTGGTCTCTGCTTTGTCTTTAACCCAACAGGACAGCACAGCATGAACAGCCTTTAGCAAGTTAACTGAACTCCAACAAACTTTTCACTGAGCAAATAATAGCTGCTGAGATCAATCATATCAGGAATTTTGCGAGTACATTAATATCATCCACTAGGTAACAGAGTGAGACAATCATTAATGCACAATTTCAGTTCTTAACTAACCCTCAATAATTATTAAAAACGTTTACTTACATTTTGAAAAATAAGAAAGGAACAGGAACAGGAATGTAGAATGTGGTGTTTAGAGGGTGTTAATGACTAACTAACTCTGTTTACTAAGAGTCCACAGTCCGAATGCTTCTGCATTCTTTTCTGCTGTCTGTCCACTTACACCTATTTGTGCTGAACTGTACAATTTACAGTTTAATCACCAGACAAGTATATTTGTGGTTTAATTACTTATGATTGGTGAAATAGTTAAATTTCACCTGTCATTTCTTTCTTTGATGTAATAATGCATTTTCAATTATATGAGCCTTAACTTGATGGCCAAATGAATTTGGTAATGTTATTATAGCATTCAAAAAATAAATATATCCATTTTAACTATGCTCTATACATGCAGTACATGTTGATACACGTTGGTACATGTTGGTATTTGTACAAATTGCCTCACATTGATCTTTTTTCCTCAATATACACAGCCTACATTTTGATTAGAAAAAGCATTAAAACGTATCTAATTTTCTGTTGCATAATGGGTCACGCATTCTTGCACTCTCTTTTGCTAACATAGGAATACTTGCTATAATCTGCATACAACATACAGTAGCTATATGATATTGATAGTGAAATAAACTATCAGCACACACCTGTTATTGGAAACATAAACAAGACTTAACATCACAATGGGACACACATGCATGCAATGTATACACTGTACCAAGCAGCTTTACAGTAACTAATTTTACAGTGCAACAATAACACTCAAAAAAAAATTTCTGTCTAAAATTACATTTTGTGTAATTCAATAGCATAACAATTTTCCATCCATTTAGATGACATAGTTTTAACAAACAAATGAATAAACTTAATGTGATTGATATGCGTCAGTCATACGTGAATGAAACAGGTAGGTTTTATGTAATAGTTCACAGCAAAGTCCCCACACTGCTCAGTGTTCATGTGTTTCCACACTACAGAGTGTTAAAGGAGCATTGAAGCAGTGTTGGAGTTAAGGAGATAATTATGTGATGATTGACCATTAATGATGAACACCTGCTGTTAAAAGAATCACCGAAGGAAAGAGAAACACAAGAACTACAACTGACTTCAGCCACAGCCAAAGATGAAATCAACTGAAATAAAAGAAGACATTAAATCTCTCAAGAGCTCAGTAGAAGAGGATTAAACACACAACAGCATCTCCACAAACAGCAATACCAGCTCCACGTGTTACTAACTAGACTGACTTTATTTCTGTCAGACTTCTAGAGAAGCTCTTCTTGAGATGTTGAGATGTTTTAATGTTTCATTTGAAATCACTACCAAGGAGATCAGTGTTTTCTTTTGTTGGGCTCTTGACCCTTAACATTTTCACCTTAGTTTTTTTCTCTGATTGCTAAGACTGTGTGTTTATAAAACATTAGGTTACTTGCGTAACCCCAGTTCTCTGAGAACAGAGCGAGGTATCTCACTATGGGAAACGCCCCAGGCATGATAGACTATGGAAGCACCAATTACACCACGTCTGTCAAAAGGATGCACCAATCATAACTCATGACAAGGAGCCCACCCCCTCCCTATATATATGGCTGTGATCCCCGAAAACGGCATTCTACGCACGCTGTTCCCCCGTGTTATGCGAGTAGGGAAGCTTGGTGAGATACCTCGCGCTGTTCTCAGAGAACCGGGGTTATGCAAGTAACCTAACGTTCTCTTTCAAACAATCGCTCGGTATCTCACTATGGGAATGATATAGCCAACTCCTGAAACGCATGCTTTCCGAAGCCGCCGAACAAACCCGGCAAGAACGAAAGAAAATCTTTAAATTCTCCATAGAGCCAACATTGAGAACTGCATGAGCCATAGAAGGCGCAGTGACATCCAGATGGTAAAATCTGATAAATGTATGAAGGGAAGCCCAGCGTGCCACTGCACAAATATCTCCTACCGAAATCCCCTTGAACAATGCCCATGAGATAGCCATACCCCTTGTTGAATGAGCCCTTAAGCACGCTGGGGAATGAAGACCCATTGATGTATAGGCCAATTCAATCGCCTCCACCATTCAATGGGAAAGGCGCTGTGAGGAGATAGGCTTACCCTAACATTGAGTGGCCCATGAAACGAATAACTGATAATTCTTCTTGAACGATCATGTCCTGTTTACATAATAGCGTAACGCTCGTACAGGACACAAAGTGTGCAATTTCCGCTCCTCCTCCAAAGAAAAAGGAAGGGGGTAAAAGGCACGCAACTCCAAAGCAGAGCAGTTATAAGCTGAATCACTGACTTTGGGAACGAAAGCCGGGTTAGGCAGCAACGTAACCTTGCTGTCATCCTGACTAAAATCCAGACATGCCCGATGAACCGACAAAGCATGTAACTCACACACTCGCTTAGCTGAGACTAAAGCAAGTAGTACGACGGTTTTCAGAGATAGGAGCTTAATATCAACACTCTCCAGAGTTTACAATGGGGCCTGAGTTAAAGCATTCAGAACCATGAACAAGTCCCATGATGGGACCAGATGCTTAGATACTGGTCTCAAACGCTTCACCCCCTTCATAAAATGGCATACAAGAGGGTACCGTCCAACTGAGACTCCCTCGAAGCCTACATGACACGCCGAAATAGCAGCCAGGTCAATTTTAATAGTAGAAAACGCTCTCCCATTGTTCATTATGCTTTGTAAAAAACGAAGAACATCGCTCACCGTGCACTGAAAAGGAATAACTCCTTTACGAGTACACCAGTCCTCAAACACACGCCATTTAAGGCCATACTTTGAGCGCGTTGATGGAGCTCTAGCGCTCTGGAGCGTGTTTATAACCTCCTGCGGAAGCCAGAGTGCGTATAAATTTAACCCTTCACAGGCCAGACCCAAAGATCGACTTGTTTCGGGTTGAAATATCTGCCCCCCCCCCCCCCCCCCCCCCCCCTCCCGCCGGGCCGGCGCCCCGGCCGG